TTTCAGCAGGGTATGAATGTTGTGAATCATAAATCCACTCATCATGTGAAAAGCAGCCTACAAATGATGCTAAATAAATAGATTTTACTTTAAACTGTTTTTTTAATGAGTGGTTTTTAATACTGGCGTGTTTAACTGGATTTTAATAGTCCTATATATTGTGATTTTAATTCTTTCTATCTTTCAGTCATTTGTAAGCCATCTTGGGTTCCTTTTTGAGAGAAAAGCAGGATAAAAATAATTGAACAAATAAACCTAGCAATATTTTGCAAATTAAAACAATTCTGAAAGGTGTATTATTATGATTGCTAGTATTTGCAGTAATACCATTTGATGGAAAAAGATCTCAAAATGTTATACAGCATAAAAACAACAGAAAAACTTTGAAATGACTTTTTATTGGTGTGGGGGGAATAAATCTGCTATGCCCTATGGCTTCATTACATTATTGCAAGATAACGAAAACTGGTTCTCTCTTCTAACCAATTTCATATTATTCAAAGAAAAAACAAAATACAGTGGTGCCTCACTTAGCGACGTTAATCCATTCTGGAAAAAACGTCACTAAGTGATTTAATCGCTAATCGATTTTTAAAAGCCCATAGAAGCTCATTTAATGCGTTCCTATGGGCTTCAAAACTAACCTTAAGCGAAGATCCTCCATAGGGGTGGCCATTTTCCGTGCCTCTTAAGCGAGGCAAAACAACGGGTGGCCATTTTGAAACCGCCGATCAGCTGTTCAAGAAAAGTTCCCCGACCCTTTTTAAACTGTTTGCACTGCAAAAACGGGAAGAAGCAATGTTCCCATCTGCTCTCCTTGTCGAGGGAGCCATTTCTCCTTCTCTCTTTTTTTTCTTTCCCGTCCGCCTGCCTGAGCCCGCCACTGCTCTCCTCGACCGAGTGTGTAGTGTGTGTGTTTGCGTGTGTGTGTGTGTGTGTGAGTGCACGTTCCCCTTCCCCTCACCCCAACGGAGCCCAAGGCCGAACGGCCGGGATTGGCCGCCGAAGGCCCCGAGCTCCGCCCGCTTGAGCCTGGCTTGGAAGAGAGTGAGAGAGCGAGAAGGAAGGGAAGGGAAAAAAAGAGAGAAGGCAGGGGAGGCGAGGAGAGAAGAGCGGGGCCATGCTCCCTGCGTTGCCTAGTCTGGAGTGGGAGCCTGGCAGCGGCGGAGCAGCAGCAGCAGGAGCAGCCGCCACTGGAGCTTGCTCGTCTGAGAAGTCAGTAGCCCTCTCCTCTCTGCTCCTTGGGCGCAAGGCAAGGCAAGCGGGGGGGCTCGCCTCCACCAGTCCATGACCATGGGCGACAAGAAGAGCCTGACCAGGCCAAAAAGGCAAGCAAAGCCTGCAGCTGATGAAGCCGGCCAGCAAGGGAGTGTGTGTGTGTGTGGTATGGGGCGGCGCTTCTTTCCCCGCCGCGGAGCAAAGCTGCCATTTGGAGGGCAGGGGAAGGAGGTGGCTGTATGGGGGGTTGGGATGGACAGTCTTTGACCCTCCCCAGCTCGGAGGGGCAGGATGTGTACCTGTGGGTGTCCTGACAGCCCAAGTTGCCGCAGAGGTGCCCCTTGCGAGGAGGGGGGGAGGACGGACTCCGGGCTAGAAGGCGAAAGGGGGAAGCCGGCGGAGGAGAGAGCGGCCGGTGGTGGTGGGGGGTCTCCTGGTGGAGGGTGGGCTTCCACGGGATCCTTTGGCTGGGATGAGAGGCTCCCCCTTAGCCTCCCACTGCTCTGCTCTCCTCCGGGTGGATCCTCCTACCTCCTCCTGGACGTGCAAGGGTCGCTTTGCCATGATCGCAAAGTGATTTATCCCCACAGGGGCCATCACTAACCGATCGCTCTGGCGATGCCCAAAACCCCATCGCTAAGCGATTTCATCGTTAAACAGAGCAATCGGTAAGCGAGGCACCACTGTATAAGTAGCAGCAGAAATAATTTTCTAAAGGGTGGGAAACCCATTTTGGTTTTGTTTCCTTCCAGAAATGTGCATTTGGATTCAGAAATATTTGGGATTCATTGAATAATGCCATTATTCACATAGGTCTGAATATATCCAAATCAAAATTTGATAGTTTTGAATATCTGCAATAATAATTTCTAATGCTTAAGAGTCTCATTTACTCATATAGAATAGAAAGCACAAGGCGACTTCCGGCTTGACGTCGCGACGAGACAGCAGCAGGAGGGCAGAGCTCTGTCCCCTGGGCTGAATTCTGACCCGTTTTGGGACACCGTAGGGTGTCGGAACCACCCTGGAGGGGTGGTGAACTGGGGGAGAAAGCCTGTTGATCATGGGGGGTGGCAGCCACCCCGGTTCGATCCAGGAAACTCCCTAATCAGCCAACGGGCAGAAATAAGCAGCTT